TCTTTTCAAATTATTCTTAACACTAATCTTTGGGCCTGTACCGACCTACAGGTAGTTGAAATAGCTACAAAAATCGGATCGACGGGTATGATTCTCCAAACGCAAAGCAAGCTGCATACTTTTGAGAATTGCCTTGCGCATCGCAACCACCACTGATGGAAGAGGACAGCTGACTAGTTCCGTTTTTTGACAGTTCAACTTTAACATTTCAAAATAAAATTCACTGTGCGTGCTTTTCAAATCGAGCCGCCATTTTCCTCCCCACATTCGCATGTACATGGTCGAAAATACGCGAGGCCCAGGTAATTGAATAGAGGGCGGAAGAACGTTCTCGGGGACCAGTATTTTATTTGCCCGACATTTCGGACTCTTACTCGAGGCCATTTTCAAGGAATGAAAACGTACAGCTCACTGCGTGATTAAGTCAGCTCTGCCACGAGTGATCTTGAGCCCTGCCATTGCTCGCGCAACGCGAGATAGGCATCTGGGAGATCAATATGCTTATTAATAGAGTGCGCATGCGAGTGCCATGCTTCTTGCAGTAGGAGTGAGACTCGGTCGTCCGACTGGCCTTGTATTCGCACGTGTTCGAAGTCGAAGCCGTGCCCTAGCGAGGATGCGTAGGCGGCGAGCAAGGATAGCTTGTCATTCCTTCGCACGGCGAGTTTATGCTCGTGCAGTCTCGTGGCAACCCGTTTGCAGGTTTCGCCAACATAATTGGCATGACCGCAAAGACAGTCGATTCGGTAAATAACACCCGATTTCTGGTTGACGGGTAAAGGGTGCTTAGGCTGCATGAGTTGCCTGCGGATTGTCGGTTGGTCTACCTGACCCATTATAAACCGATTTTTATCCCTCGTTATTTATTTGAACTACAATGAGGCCATCAGTGCACGACGCTAGTGCTGCTTCGACCGCAGTCTAATTTGGCCTATATACGACGAATTTTCTAAGGAACTGTATCCATGATGTCGACAATTGCAGTCATTGACGATTATGGATTGCTTTTGAGTTGGTGGTGTGCGCCTAATTTCATTCCCTGCAAATAGAGGACGCTTTTTCCGAAAATTCTGGAATTATATTTTCAAAATATCACTTCCACTCTTTTTTTCACATTAGGGTTGGATCCGCCTTAGACAGTAAAGCTATACTAGCGTATAAGACCAATGTTTAATAAGGGTAAAATGTGGCATGTATGCAATTAATGAGGCTAGGGCAGAGGCCAGGACTTAAGCAAAAGAAACAAACATAAACAGTCTCGAAATGGAGACAGTCTGGCTTTGGTCAATCTGGGAATCAGATACGTGCTAAACGAAGCCGGAGGCCGCCGATTCAGACAACCAGCTACGCGACACAACCATAGCTGGGGATTCTATTCAATTGTCTACCAAGTCCTAAGTAGAAGGACATGAAGCGAGCAAAAAAGTCAGTACGAGGCATGCGTGGAGTACCTGTTGAAAGACTTTCGCGTTAGTAAGTCACAGGCTCGGAATACCACATTAATGGGAAAAAATAAACGAGGGATAGTAATAATTTTAAGTATGCCAATCCTGAGTACCTAAATTAGACTTCAGTCATAGTATAAGTGGAAGTTCAGTTCAGAGGGAAGATACATTATTCAGAGGGACTTACTAGGAGAGCCTTTAATTCCATAAAATTCAGTGTTAGGGTTGAGTTCGCCGGCGAATGGCTTTAGACGGTAGGAGAGGTCCGAAGGGCTCTCGGGAGGAGTTAAATTGCCTAGAAGGAGATAAACACTCGGGTCAAGAAAAGCAAATCCGAATAAAATGACGACTGAGCGGGGGTAAAACCGGTAATTAGTGAGAAAATATGCTCAGGTGATTCGCGAACGTTTGTGCAACAAGAACACCTTAAAGGGATTTTGATCTAAACTGCATGAAATGACTTGAAAAGGTGTATTATTTTGGAAAAAACAAATACGAAAATGACAAAGTAAAAAAGGCAAGTTCATTGACATTTCAGGACCATCAAAAGAGTTGACTATGGGGCTCCACTGTCGGGCTAAAAAATTCGTCTACACGTGCCACACGCGACCCGGTTCCCGCACATTGTACCAGAATTTACCAGGAGGGACGGTTCGCAGCTAACCTGAGTAAAAAGACGCGATAAGCTACATTTGAAAGTCGTTGATTCTGGCTGTCCGTCCTTAGAGGGCGGAGTTATGCAGTCTTGTGGCTTTACTTTAGGCCACCACTTTTAATGCGTCATGAAAATGCCGAAGCGCGTCAAGTTGTGGAGAATACGAATATCTGTCATGGGGAGATATTACCCTAATTTGATCTCATTCACTCTTTTTTCTCCAGTGCGTCCGTTTACTTGCCGAGCCGGTCAGCCATGTGCTGATGAGATTGGGCGCCTAGGCGTGTCATCAGCGCCCTGTTTGTCAGTAGTGATGGGCCCGTGGAGACTGCGTGGCCGGCGTAACGCTTGCCATGAGCTAATGACCTATGTTTTGGGACCAACAATTGGCAAAACAGGAAGACGGCTATGCCTTCCCTCGCCCACCAATGTACACTCTTGGAAGAACGTGATGTAACCGAGGATGCTACCCAGGCGGAAAATTGTTATTTCCGAAACTAACTGAGCTCCCTTAAGACCGCTAGCATTGAATTTGCTAACCATGTCGGCTTGAAAATCCCTCAACCTGACACCCAGCATGGCGCGATTGTAAAAGGGGTGATACACTCTAGCAATAGTCAAGGTAAATGGGTTCATTCTGAGAAGCCGAAGCTTTCCGGTTCAACTCCAACTTTCCGGCTATAATTACCTTGCCAGAAAAATGGGCCACAATAAAGCAACTGTCGACTGCATCGCAGTATGGACCTTTATTTGTATTTCTGCACAAATGGGCTGTAGAACTATGGCAGATCACATAAACAACCATACGATGAGGAACAAAACTGTATCGACAAATAAAATAGTCTACGACCTTTTAAAAAGGTCAGGTGCCGAACAAGACTAATACAGGAGCTTATGCAGTAGAATAAATAGGATGACAATGTTCGGAAATATGGGCGCGGACGTGGGATGGTCTGCCAAAGTCACGTTTGCAAGAGCCAAACGCGTACTGTTTCCTCACTCGACGCAAACCGTGCTCCGCTCGCTGAATCCCCTGAAGACGGCCACCAGACCCGATTACGGGGGCCCTGTCAACCGACCTCCGGTCCGAAGGAAGACGGATTGAGTCTATCAGTTTTAAACCGAAAAATGAACGACTTCATTTTTTGTAAAAACTACCGCTCTTGGCGTATTACAGGGGACCCGGGCTCTTATTTTTTTAAAGTGGAGTCACATATCCCATCGCCGTCAGCAAAACATTGCATGCTTTCTATAGCTTAAAGTCGAATTTATAAAGGCATCGAAAATATTTAAAAGTGGTCATTTTCGAAGTACTGTAGTTTTTGAGGGCAGAAGATAATAGATAGTACAATCCACGCAAGTAATATTTCCTAATGGAAAACGCATTCCAATACTTCGTTGAGATTGACCAATAACTGACACACTGAAAAAGTGCTTTCAACGGCGACAGAAAACAGGTCTTTCGTTGCATTTGACGGCCCATCAATGAGAGACAACAACTTGTGTTGGATCTATGCATACCTGAAGTCAATCAAGCAATAGTTGTCACATGCTTGCGTCGCCTGCCCCCAAAAATATCCGGGCTACAAGACCGAAACTGTGCATCCCAAATACGGCAGGCATAAAACGGCCGCTCAAGGAGACGACTTTTATGCCATAAGATCACTTGATCCACCCTCTTGTGATGTACGAAAAAACAGTCGTAAAGTGCACGTCATTTGTGCTAGGACCTCTGATGCCCGTTTGAGGTAGAGGACCATATTGGGGTGTTAACATAGTAAATAGAGGCGGTGGCTCCGTCTGATGTACAATCATTCAAGTTCACGTTATGTAAGGAAAGGCGTGCAGTGACTAGCTAAAACACAACCCCCCCAAATGCCTCACAGAGAGACAGAGGTCAGTGCATTCTAGGGCCCTTGACGGCAGACAGGAAAAGCAGTACGCCGAAAGGAAGGATGTACACACGCAAAACCTTAATTATATATGTTCCCGAGCCCGGTAGAAGACCTTTCCGGTAAATTTAGTACAATCATGTGGCAGAGTGGAATTAACAGTTGACAGCGCTCAGTACGTCATACATAAAGTCGTCAAAAATAGATCATAATTAGGGTAAAAAGAACTCTGTACTGCAAGGTAGTAAAACTCGGAAAAGACCAAGATTTCACGAATGTCGGCATAAACACACGCGGCCATGACTTTCGCGATACACACACACACAGCCGAGCCCTAGGGATATTTTTTGTTGACACCCCGCACAACAGCGTGACCTTGAGGTCAAAACGTCCCACGAGACAAAAATAAGTCGTTAATGAAACGTTCAGGAGGAGCGGTAATTTTTTTTAGAAATAGGTCAACGTAAGTCCTCACAGTACTTTTAGCCTCCAGGCATACATTTATTCGAAACCAGGCTATCCGCTGGGACTGGTCTCAATGACCCCCTCTTCGTATTTAGCCAGGTGTCCAAACAGCCTATGCTGTCGTTTGAGGC